TGGGGGGAGGGGTCTCCTCTTCCTCCTCCTCCTCTTCCTCCTCCTCCTCCTCGTGCCCGGGGGGTCCCGGGGGGGTCCCGGGGGGGTCCTCGGGGGGTCCCCAGGCCGCCAGCGCCGCCCCCTCGGACGGGTACGAGAAGATTCGCTCCAGGTCGCGCTCGCTGAACCAGATCTTCAGCTTGGGGGACATTTGGGGACATTTGGGGACATTTGGGGACGTTTGGGGACGTTTGGGGCCATTTGGGGACATTTGGGGACATTTGGGGGGCACTGGGGAAACTTGGGATGGGCTGGGATTGGGGGACACAGGTGACAGGCAAGTGACACAGGTAACACACAGGTGACACAGGTGACACACAGGTGACACAGATCACACAGGTGACACTCAGGTGACACACAGGTGACAGGTGACACACAGGTGACATACAGCTCAGGTGACACAGGTGACACACAGCTCACACAGGTGACACAGGTGACACAGATCACACAGGTGACACACAGGTGACACACAGGTGACACACAGGTGACATACAGCTCACACAGGTGACACAGGTGACAGGTGACACACAGGTGACACACAGGTGACACACAGGTGACACTCAGGTACCTTCTTGCGCCGCGCGTCGTTCTTGGCCAGGCAGGAGCGGGACAGCGCCAGGTACCCCCCGATCACCTGGATCTGCTCGGCCGTGGGGTAGCGCTTCTTGGGAGGGCCCTGGCCACCAGCAGGGCCACCAGGGCCACCTCCGGGGCCACCAGGGCCACCTCCAGGGCCACCTCCGGGGCCACCAGGGCCACCAGTGGGGCCACGCTGGGGTCTCACGGTGATGGTGTTGCCGCTGCGGCGCTGCAGGGCCGGGTGGGGACACGGGGAGGGACCCGGGGGGTCACGACGAGGTGACACCGCCCGGATGGACACGGGGACGGTGGGGGACACGGGGACGGTGGCACTGGACGTGGGGACAGTCCCGGACACGGGGACGGTGGCACTGGACACGGGGACAGTGACCCCTGGTGACACAGGGACGCTGACCTTGGACATGGGGACAGTGGGGGACACGGGGACGGTGGCACTGGACACGGGGACACCGCTGGACACGGGGACATCACCGGACACAGGGACAGTGACCCCCGGGGACACGGGGACACGGGCGGCCAGCGGCGCCACGGAGGTGACGGGGGCTGTGGCCATCGAGGGTGACCCCGAGGTCTTGGGTGGCCCCGTGGGCTCGTGGCCGTTCGCTGTCCCCGAGGATGTCCCCGAGGATGTCCCCGAGGATGTCCCCGATGTCCCCTGCCCCCCCCTGCCCTCCACCACCTTCCAGCTCCTGACCGTGCCCTTGACCGCTGGCCCCACCCCGCTGGTCACTCCATGGCCCCTGAGCGCTGGCCCGGTCCCCTCTGCTGTCCCCACAGCCTTGGCTGACCCCTGACCCTCGGGTGACCCCTTGGCGACCGCCCCACCCCCCCTGAGCGTCCCCACGTCCATCCTGGACCCCTGACCCTCGGGTGACCCCTTGGTCACCGCCCCCCGCCCCTCGTCCCCTCCCGCCTGGGCACCCTCGGGGACAAAGCGGCTCCGCAGGCGGCTGACACAGCCCCGGGGGGGATTTTGGGGGTCCTGGGGGGGATTTTGGGGGTCCTGGGGGGGATTTTCGGGATTTTGGGGAGGAGTTTTGGGATCCTGGGAGGAATTTTGGGGATCCTGGGGGGAATTTTGGGGATCTCGAGGGGAGTTTTTGGCATCTCGGAGGAGATTTTGGGGGTCCCTCGTGGGATTTTCCTGATCCCGAAAAGGATTTTTGGGATCCCAGAGAGGATTTTGGAGAGAATTTTCGGGATCTCGGAGATTTTGGGGATCCTGGGTGGGATTTTGGGGATCCCAGGTGGGATTTTGGGCACGGCCGTGTTTGTCCAGCCCCTCGGAGCTGCGGCTCCTCCCCGGCGCCAGCGCCAGGGACTCACCTGGACCCTCCTGCCCAGGTGTGACCCCTGAGCCAGGTGTGACCCCTGAGCCAGGTGTGACCCCGAGCTCAGATGTGTCACCTGAGCCAGGTGTGACTCCGTGCCCAGATGTGACCCCTGACCCAGATGTGACCCCTGAGCCAGGTGTGTCCCCGTGCCCAGGTGTGACCCTGAGCTCAGGTGTGTCCCCTGTCTCTCCGTACCCAGGTGTGTCCCCGTGCGCAGGTGTGTCCCCGTGCCCAGGTGAGCCCCCCATCCCCCCGTGCCCAGGTGTGCCCCCGGTGCCCGCGCGCGCTCTCCGCCTCTCCAGCAGTTCCCGTTTCCAGGTGGGCACCTGCGCCGCGCGCTCCCGCTGCTCGCGCTCCCTGCGCGCCGCCGCCTCCTCCTCGCGCCGCCGCCGCTCCAGCAACTGCAGCTTCCAGCTCGGGAGCGCCATCGGCAGGAGAGAGCGGGAACTGCAGGGGACAGCGGGAACTG